TGTCACAATCCACTGAAATCCCCACCTCTTGATAAAACCACCCCCATGGCCAGAAAGGGAATATGTGCTTCAAGCACATCCACATTTTTGGGGCTTGTTCAGCACCATCCACATCCATGTCCACCGTGAAGCGTTTAAGCTATCTGGCGGTGGGAGTACTCAATCCTGTTCATTTTTGATGATGAGTATCAATCTATTTAATCCTACGTTGAAAAAATCAATCCTCTATTCAATCCTACCCTGGAAAAACAGAAAAATAGACCCCTTCTTAAAATAGAGAGCGCGAGCCGCCTTTTGACCCAAAAGGCGCGCCAGACGGTGTATCGTGCGCGCGCTTGAGTCTTTGCGCAGCGTGCGCGCCCCCCTGTGTATCGTGCGCGCCTGATTCTTTGTGCAGCGTGCGCGGCCACCTGTATATCGTGCGCGCCTGATTCTTTGTGCAGCGTGCGCGCCCACCTGTGTATCGTGCGCGCTTGGTTCTTTGTGCAGCGTGCGCGCCCAACTGTGTATCGGGCGCGCCGCTGTTAGTCTATACCTGGTGTCAAAGGCGCGCACGATGCACCCGCGCACGATGCACCCCTGAGCGCGCACGATGCACAGCTCAATGAAAATAAGGTTTCTAGTGTTTGTCTCCACACTTGGGACCCCCCTTGAGAGAGGCAGTGCATATGCACTGCCTCTCTCAAGTGGGGGGCTGCGCTGCCCCCTGTTGAGAAGCACTTTTGGAGGGTGTCTGAGAGAGACAGTGCAAACGCCCGGTCTCAGCTCAACAGTCATGTGCAATCATGCCTGTGGTCTCTCAACAGGGGGCAGCGCATCCCCCCCCTTGAGAGAGGCAGTGCATTTGCAGTGCCTCTCTCAGGGGGGGGGGCCCATCAATTTTGGTGATATAAATGTTTTGGCTAAAAAAAATTGTGGGATTTTGTGTGTGTTTTTTGCCTGGCTGGCAGGCACCATGGGACCCGGCCGAGCACGAGTCAGCGCTTACAACTGCGGGAACCTATGTGTCAGCAGGAAACCTGTTCTGGTGCAACCTGAGGGTTTTGAACAGCCCATCTGTTCCTGTCTCGGCAAAAAGCATAGAGCTCCAGTTCAATTACTTTGAGGCGACTGGTCCAGAGAAGCTTCCGGAGGAGGTGGTCATTGCACTTGAGCAAGGTGTTGGGGTGGGTCAATTCCAGCGGCAGCAGGCGCAGGTAAACAAATTGCTATCGAGCCGCCTTTTGGGTCAAAAGGCGGCTCGCGCTCTCTATTTTAAGAAGGGGTCCATTTTTCCGTTTTTCCAGGGTAGGATTGAATAGAGGATTGACTTTTTCAACGTAGGATTGAATAGACTGATATTCATCATCAAAAATGAACAGGATTGAGTACTCCCACCGCCAGATAGCTTAAACGCTTCACGGTGGACATGGATGTGGATGGTGCTGAACAAGCGCCAAAAATGTGGATGTGCTTGAAGCACATATTCCCTTTCTGGCCATGGGGGTGGTTTTATCAAGAGGTGGGGGTTTCAGTGGATTGTGACACCAAATCCAACTCAGTGTAGTCACATATACCACCCATCTTTCAGGGGAGTTGCCACAAGTCATACGCAGCTTTACTTTAGGAGTTGTACATATCTTTGTGGTTGTTATGTTTTTCAGAATGGATGGTGCTGAAGAAGCGCCCATGTCCAGAAAGAGATGGTTGAACTAAACATTAGCGCCCCTTCCAACCATTCCAACCCAGTGAGGTTCCCGACCTGCTTCTGGATCTGAGGTTCGCCATTGCCCCACTCTGCCAGTTTGGCGCTTCTACAGCACCAATCATCTGGCGCTTGCGCAGCACCTTTTTAGGGGCGCTTCTTCAGCACCTTCCTGCTAAAATACGATTGTTTAATTTGCATTTTCCAAAAACAGTGTCCAATGCATGTTTTATCTCATGTATCAAAGTGTGTTTGCTCAAAAACGCTCCAAAGTCGTTGACAAGCACTGTGTGGTTCCTGCCTGTGGATCGCAATAGTTGATTTCTCAGGACGTTTGATGATGTTTGTGTTGTTTGTCTGCGCCTGTCAAACTGTTTGTAAGGTTTCCTCTGAAAAAAACCACAAAAAACATACAAAAAGTTCCAGACATTCTACTGTCAAAAGCCATGCCTTTTTAAAGTCAGGCTTCCACATGCCACCAACTTTCAAAAAAACAAGTTGAATCATCTCCCAACTTTTAATGAAAGCAAGATATCACCAATCAAAAAGACTCCCACTGCTTGACACAAAACATTTGTCCTTTATTTCTTTGAAAATGTATGGGATCAAAGTTATATCTATGCCACAGGGCACCGGTTTTTAACCTTGAAGCCTTTGGGCTATCATATTCACAGAGCCAAACAAAGGTACAACTTTTCAATTTTAGGGTCATCATTATCATAGAACATGGGTTTTCAGATCACTAGTCATCATGTTGACGGGCCAAAAACCAAGGCAACAAAAGCACATACCAAAGCACAGCCCAGTCTTATAGGACACTCTTGTGGAACACTCTTGTGGGGCACTCTTGTGAGACACTCTTGTGGGACACTCTTGTGGGTCACTTGCAGGACACTCTTGTGGGTCATTCTTGTAGGAAATTCTTGTGGGGCACTCTTGTGGGACACTCTTGTGGGACACTCTTGTGGGACACTCTTGTAGGACACTCTTGTGGGATACTCTTGTCGGACACTCTTAAGGGACACTCTTGTGAGACACTCTAGTGGGACACTGTTGCGGGACACTGTAGGACACTCTTGTGGGACACTCTTGTGGGACACTCTTTTGTGACACTCTTGTAGGAAACTCTTGTGGGACACTCTTGTGGGACACTCTTCTTGTGGGACACTCTTGTAGGACACTCTTGTAGGACACTCTTGTGGGTCACTCTTGTAGGAAACTCTTGTGGGACACTCTTGTGGGACACTCTTGTGGGACACTCTGTGGGACACTCTTGTGGGGCACTCTTGTGGGACACTCTTGTAGCATACTCTTGTGGGACAGTCTTGTAGGACACTCTTGTAAAACACTCTTGTGGGACACTCTTGTGGGACACTCTTGTAGGACACTCTTGTGGGATACTCCTGTAGGACACTTTTAAGGGACACTCTTGTGAGACACTCTAGTGGGACACTGTTGCGGGACACTCTTGTGCAACTCTCTTCCAGCTCCCCAGATACTCCGCGTACTAAAGTTGTACTACAAGGTCGCCAGTTCTCAGCTTCCAGCTCCCCAGATACTCCGCGTACTACAGTTGTACTACAAGGTCGCCAGTTCTCAGCTTCCAGCTCCACAGATTGCTCCGCGTACTAAAGTTGTACTACCAAGTCACCAGTTCTCATCTTCCAGCTCGCCAGATACCCCGCGTACTAAAGTTGTACTACAAAGTCGCCAGTGCTCGCCTGCATTTCGCGCGCTCGACGCGCACGATCTCCGCAGAGGGTTGCGCGGGCACCGGACAAATCGCACTCTCGCCTGCATTTCGCGCACTCGACACGCACGATCTCCGCAGAGGGTTGTGCGCGCATGGGACAAATCGCACTCTCGCCTGCATTTCGCGCACTCGACACGCACGATCTCCGCAGAGGGTTGCGCGCGCATGGGACAAATTAATCGCACTCTCGCCTGCATTTCGCACACTCGACACGCACGATCTCCGCAGAGGGTTGCGCGTCAAGTCTCCAAAACGAGCGTTTCGTACGAGACTTCCTCAAAAACTCACACGTCAAAGTCAGCAAAACGAGCGTTTCGTACGAGACTTCCTCCAAAAGTCAAGCGGAAACACCCATCAAAGCACACACATCACGCAGCCCTGCCAAGCAGTTTTGCGATTCCAGCCCCTCCAAACAACATCCGCTCACACGCCAATCCCAATGTGACAGCGACATTCACCTCTACCACAACTCACAACCTCACGATTCCCTGCGCCTGCCACGAATCTTTGTGGCATCCACACGTCTGACGCACACAAAGTACTGCGCCTGCCACGAAATGTCACCTCCCTCACACCTCGCAGCCTCACGATTCCCTGCGCCTGCCACGAGAATCGCACTTCCACGCTTCAAAACCCGCACGAAGTCCTGCGCCTGCCACGAAAAGTGACAATATCATCGCATGTGAGCTTCAACAAAATTTGCACCACGCCACACGTTTGGAATGATTTCGACCCGTTCAGAGCACACTCCCATCCTCCAAAATCGCCATTTCAGCTGAGACTTGTCACGAAAGCAGAGCTTCGATGCCACACCCTGAAACGCAAATCCCAATGGCACGGCCACATCCAACACCCCAAAAACACGACTCTCCAAACGCTAATCCCAATGGCACTGCGCAGCAAACTGCGGATCTCACAAAACGCTGCGCCTGTGCAGCGAAATGCATCACGTTTCTTGCGCGACATGTCGGTGTCATGCAAATCACAATGGAATAGCGGCGCAAACTGACACGTGACACATCCATGCAAAGTCACTTGCAAAAGCTTCCCCCAATGGCAGCAAATTTGAGACGCGACGACGACGACACGACGACGAGAGACGACGACAAACGACGAGAGACGACGACACGACGCAAGCCATGCAAACACAGGTCCAACCCCCAGACCCCCAACTATAAACGGGAACCCTTCGCTACGCATTCGGGAAAAAGTATCAACATGTCACACGAACTCCATCTCTCCATATCTCTCCATATCTCTCCATCTTGTCTGAGCTTCGAATGACCTCCAAGGCCTTCAGTTGCACCGCCTCCCCGCCATCGGCGGTGTTGAAGTCCAGGTTTTTCACCACCGGGCTCAGTGCCAGCGCGATTTCGCAAAGCTTGGCGCGACAGAGTGGAGAGGAATAGTCACCTCGCCGGCGAGTCGGTAGGCGATGAATCTGGGAGGTGGGATTGGGGATCTGATGGATCTGCTAGCTCTGTGAGTTGGGGATTCATGACGTGAAGACTGATTTCCACTTCAAGTGGATAATCAGGGCCACCCGAAGCATGTGCATCCAATTCCCAGAAGTGCCCAAAACATGCAACGACAATCTGGAGCGGTGAGCATCACAAACCTGCACTTTCGCGGTGGGATGGAATCTGAGCTTCCCTTGCCAAACCAGGGCAAACAAACCAGCATCCACACTCTGCTACTAGCAGTTCCAGTGGCGTTTCTGCCACCGAGGCTCACTTCAAGCCATCCTCCAGTAGCACATGCTTCCCGTTCTTTGCCAAGTCATGCCGTTGGTTGAGCCGCAGCACCTCGGCCTTGGGCACCTCCGCCATTCGGCGGCTGCCACCTGCCTCAGTGACCTCCACCAACCTTAGATGTGCACAGTGGACCCGGCAAGTCTAGGGAACTCCCGGCCGGGCCGTTTTTTTCGCGGCCTGGGAGCCTTGGTTTTTGTGGGGGAAAAAGAGTTCAACTCCGGCTACTTCAAGAACCCTGATATGGCTTCGCACTGGTTCTTTTCTAGCTTTAGTGCGCAGATGCGATCTGTTTTTTTGGGGGAGAGTTGATCAGAAAGAAACTAACGGATGACAGCTGCAAGCCGGATGACACTTGTCAACCTTCGACCCAGCCCTTCCCAGTCGATCATCACCAGGTGAACGGTGATTTTGAGTGATTTCAGGTGACCCTTGGGGTCAAACCCGAGAACTATCTGAAACCCTGAGGTAGACTTGTAGAGACATCATCAGAAAACCTGTGAACAACGAGAAAAACCGTGAAAACTACGGATTCTTGGATGTTCCCATCTTTGTTGGTGCCTAGACAATCAGGCAATCAGCCAAAGCCACACCTAAGCCATTCCTCCCCCACAACAGCAGCTGGAAGACCACGTATCAGCATTCTCCTTGGACTTCCCCTTCAGTTCCGCTTTGGAGGTCGTACGGTCTGCCCCGGAGGATGACACGCACCTCGCTGGCTGAGAAGAAACACCGTGCGTGTGAAGGATCATAAAGAGATGTTGGACTGCTATCTCAAGCGCCAGGTACTCGGGGCATGTCTATCTAGCACTTAGGGGCCATGTGTGTGTGTGCGCCTCTACTTATGATAGACTAGCTGACTGACCAGCTCAAACAATTGGCTGTGCAATGCATGTGCTGCTACTTGTGCTACAGTCCCACACGATCCAAGCCCACGGGTACGCGGAGTACACGATCGCCTGTCTCAACACCTCAACACTGCCACTGTTGAATGAAGATAATGAAGCTTCCAGTCAGGATTCTTCGGCATACATCTGCATATATCGCTACAAGACACATCTGGCCGTGGTTTGTGTGGAGCCCTTCCTCAAACTCACCACTGCTGCGATGTGTCTTCCCTTTCCAGTTTTTTCCACATCCCATGTCAGAGCTTTCTGAGTGGTCCAACACTGCTTGCTATATTTGCTATACTGCTTGCTGCTTTCACATCCACACAACCACAAAACCTTCCACCATCGCTGTGCAAAAGGATGCAAAAGGGATTTCTTGGGTGGGGAGGTCTGTGATAAGTAGATCTCTGGAGAATCCGCTCGACGTCGGTGGCACCTTCCAACGATTATCTACACGTACCTTGCAGCTGTTGGTTTCTTGTCATAAACCTGACCATTCTACTTGCTGTGAGAAAAAAAAGAAAGAGCAGCCGCATGCCGCATGCCTTCGAACTCGCCAGATCTCGATCCCTGGATTCGATCGACGTCCTTCGTCCTTTCCGTCCGCCACGGTCCAGTTGGATCCCATGACGACCCCGGTCGTGGCAAAAGCACATGAAGTCGGAATCCGAAGGCTTGAAGATCACCTTCTGCCGCACCAGCACCTTGCGCCCCACGCAGTACCGAGGCGTGTGCCGCATGCGCTCCCAGCCTGAGACGAAAAAGAAGACGAAGGATCTGAGACGGGTCAAGGACACCTGTAATTCGTGGACTGGCTATGATGTTGTTGCCCCCAAATGCAGGTCGCTTCAAAAGCGATACATTCAGTTCAGTCGCAGCCAAATCGAGCCATGCACTTGTAACTCATAGAACAACTTGCACTACAAAGGAAACCAAGCGCAACGCCGGATCAACAAAGAAATGACTCCTACAAAAGCAAGGATTCTATGCAATACCTCAAGCACGTCCCAGAGCGAAACAATCTGAATGCTATCTTCAAATGGCAATAGCCCGTTTCCCTTTCTATGACCACATTCCGCAGCAACGCCCAGCAAATCCAACGACTTCTATAATATGGTACCTTCTAGTTCTGGCGTAGATCACACCCAGGAATCTTGCAGCTACTCAAGGACAGTTTTGACTTTTGACAGTTGCTTTACAGTCAACCTGTCCGGAAACCGCAAAAAATAAAACACCCACAGGTCATGGGATATGCACCTCTTCCTGAATTCTGCCTGGATCTCAATCTCAACCATCCATTGTTCCTGACACAAATCTCTTTGACCTCCCGTGCTTCGGCACTGACTTCGGCGGCCACGCCTTCGGGCGCTTGCGACCAAAGGCCCAAGTTCACCAAGATGTTTGGATCGCTCAAGGCCTCTGCAAAGGGAATCCCAGGCTTTGGACACCACGACCTACCAACGCACACCCCACAGGACCTATCATTCCCAAAAGCACTGTCATCTACCACCAAAATGACTGGAGATGAAGGGCCATTTATTGTTCAACTTGACCCATATATGTAGCCATCCGCACTTGATGACCCGAAATCAACTGAATCCGTCTCACCCCCCCCCTTTTCCCCCCCCCCTTCCCCCCCCTTTCAACCCCCCACCCCGTCTTCGTCTTCGCTTGCCCCCCTGGCCTCGGGGCTCATCTCCGGCAGCGCGCCGAAGAGCGCCGCCGAGGACGCCGAGGAGCCCGTGAGGCGCTGCGCGTAGAGCGCTGCCAGGCGCCCCGCGCTCCAGAGCCTGGGAGGTGACGCGGTGGAGCACGGTGACCGGTGGAGCGTGTGGTGAAGGTGGAGCGACGTGGTGGGTGGAGCGGTCTAATTCGAAACACACTGAGCCCTCATTGAGGTGGTGCACCATTTTCTTGAGGCCCAACTCACCGGCCCGCTCCTACTTGAGAACACATGGCCCACTCGAGTGCCTTCGGACAAAGCTCAACATCAATGCTATCACCTGGCTGGATATGGCTGGATTCTAGAATCCAGTAGGTCGCTGGCACCCATGTAGGGGCCATTCCACCATCCATCTGCAGCATGGTCTGTCAACCCTATCCACCCCACCCTCCAACCCCACAGCCACACTCCTCCAAAGCCATCCATCCATATTCATCCAGGCATATTCGCCAGGGAACTCTTTGAATTGTTGCACTGCTGCTAAGGTGGGGTCCGCGACCTCCCTCAGCTGCTTCGCCACATCGCCTGCGTCCGCCAAGGCGTCGGCCACCACCACATTCTGCCTCGAGTCGAACGGATCTGAGTCGCAGCAGCCAACAGGCCCAAAACAAAAACTGCCCAATGGATGTTCATGATTGACGTGCCCTAGCTGGATTCATCCTGTAGCTGGATCAAAGGAGTGTGTGAACCAACTGGGGTTTCTTGATGTGTCAAAAAGAAATCGCAGGGACGGCCTCACAACACAGTCTGTAGCGAAAGGTGCAGCATGGTGCAGGGCCTCGCAGTCTGGGGCCTGATTTTATGAGTGCTGGACTCGAAGTCTTCACTTCAATTTCAGGTGTGGCAACTGGTCATTGTGGATATTTTGGTGAACTCAAGCGACGAGTCGCATAGCCCATACCATCGTTGAGATTCCCCACCGATTCCCAGTCGATCGCCACAACCCCTCCCCTTCCAAAACCCCACTCAAGCCAGCAGTTCGACTGTTCGCTCCTAGCATCCCCACCAGCCCAAACGCATCCAGAAGCTCCGGGTGACGCATGCACTACCAGCTGCCCCGCGGCGGTGGCCGCCTTGGCCTCCAAGCGCTTCTCCAGCGCGCCGGCCACCGGCGCGGCCACCTCGCCGGCGAGGAACGCCAGGATGCGGCGCTGCAGCTGCGGACCCAGCTGAGGGTCACTGCCCAGGGACATGCCGGGCTTCCAGCGAGAGCCCAAGGAGTAGACCTTGAGAGGCAAAAAGAGAAACACACAACGATAAGCGTTAAACCAGCCATTCACATGTCCCTCCATTGTGGGGGGTTTCAGTAAAGCAAGGTTCCCAAAGAACAGACACCGCCAACTTGGGCGACTGTTTTGGAGGTGATTACCAGGCCTTTCTATAGCTACAAACAATAGCTGTATAATTTATAATGTTTTATAAGAACAAGGTCTCTGGGTGCTGGTTGCTGACCGCTTTCTTCTTCTTTCACGTCTTCTTTCACGTCACGGGGCGATTGACCACCATCGCCTCAAGGCGAAGACTGCGAATTGGAAAACAACTCGAGCTTAAAGATACACAGCTTCTGGCAACATATACCTGCAAACTGCGTCCACCGTTTCAAACCACCTTCCCCATCCGATGGATCATCCAATCACCCGAAAGAGGTGGGAAGGTCCTGTTCCCTCACAGCCGCAGCTTCGTCCAAGCAGCTTCGAGCTCTCTCTTTGAACTGGGCAAGGCCTGAAAATGCTTCCGCCACTTGGTCAGATTGTGGAACCTCGTTGAGCTGTGTCGGCGCCGTTTGGGAGTGCTTTCATCCTCCGGTGGGTCCGGTGGGCTAGTCTCCGACCGCAGCCACAGAGATAGTCCAATTGGGACCAATGCAGCCTTTGGTTGGTCACAAAGTCACATCACGATGCTTCTGAAGAATACCACACCGTGGAAAAGTCACATAGAACCAGCATAGTATCAATCTATATAAAGGGATCCTTGGAATTCCTTGGAAGGCATTTGTCTAGATCGTTTCTCAAAAAGTCACTGGTGATTCTGGGTCATTCTTCCAAAAACAGGTGCGCTCGCATGTGACGTGGTCATGGACATGGATTGCTTTGGGGCCACGCTTTTCTGGTCCCCCACAGCGAAGCCCAGAGTCTCTTCTTCCATCTCACCCCTGAGCTGTTTCACACCCAAAGGGGCTGATCTTCCTTCACCCAGAGCACCAGCACCGGCACCGGCATGACTCCGAGGTTCTCGCCTGCCGAGTTCCACGGGTTCCACGGAAGAAAGCGACGCCGACCATGGAAAAGACCCCCCCAAAGCCACTGAGGCTGTATGTGTGTTCCACAAAACCCACTGAGGTCGGCCGCGGGCCCAAAGAACCACTGGGCATCCAAGAACCACCTGCATCCTCTGTCGTAGAAAGCCAGAGAACTGAGAGCATGAGAGTTCAGTCTGCCAACCGACGAGTTGTTGGGTCGGCTTGGTCCCACTAACAGTTTCACACTGGAAATGGAACATGGAACCTGAAAACCACATCAGGTTGTAGAGGAAAATCGTTTTCCAGTCTGGTCCATTTTCGGATTCCATGTGGGTCTCTTCCCGGGTGTTGGTCTGAGGAACCCAACATCGAACTCCTCGCAGGAGTCAAAGCCTTCGAGGACCGCCATGGAAGGACCCCGATGGCTCCCCGTTTTTCCCTTTTCGGTGCGAAGGCAGCGTTCGCCCGCGGAGAAGGCAGCGTTCGTTTTCATCAGTGGCCTTTGGGTGGGGAGTAGGATGGATGGAAGGGCACGATCTTGTTGACCTGAGTCGCCAGGATTTGGCATTCCATGGCTTAAGCGGCATAGAACATCCAAAGCATTCCAATGAAAGGCATGGAATGAAAGGGATGTGACTTAAGCCAAATAAGTGGCTTAAGCGGCATAGTCAAATCGAAAGGCATGTGACATCATGTGACTATTTCTTCCAATCCAACCTCTTGGGTCGCCACAGCGGTCCAGTGCGCCACAGGTCACTGTCTTTCAACCAAAATGTTTGGCTCTTTGAGTGGCTCTATGACCTGCCTCAACAAAAGCCTTTGACCTTCGTCCGCTACAGCTCACTCCTCCTCTCACCGTCTTTGACCGTCATCTCTCACCCAAACAATCATTGGCAGCAGAGTTCTGCCCCCCTGATCTTCCAAAAACAACCTGTTCACTTCACGACTCCACAGTTCTTCCCTCAACCGAAGCACACGGGTCTTCCGCAGTAAGGCCATGGACAGTGCGATACCAGCACCCCAATCCTTGGCTGGGGGAGAGCTTTTGCGTTTGGGTGCCTTCTCAAATGCTCTATGTACAACACATATCATAGGAATAACGTACCGTAAGGGCCATATTGATGCTCCTAGACTAGAAACCCATCTGATGGTATCCGAGCATCATCGAGTTCCCTCCTTTTCTCATCTTTTTCCTATACCCTGCTCAAGACTCTTGGTTCGGTCTTCCTCAAGTCAAGTCCTTTTTTCTGAGAAATGATGTTTAGTGACCATATAGAGGATAAATAAATATATATATATAATATACACATATTTTTTTTTTTTGGGGGGGGGGCTCGCTCGACTTCCTTTATCTGACTTACTTCCTTATGTGTTGCTGTGCAAGGGGTGTCCAATGCGCGTGAAGCATGATCATGATGATCAACGTCCTATCTTCACAGCTCTTTGAGGGCCCGATTCAACCCAGAGTAGACATGCGTGTGAATTAGAATAGGGCCATAGGGAGACCTCCCGAAAGACCCTGCCTGGAAGAAGGAAAACAAACCACAACCCGTTGGTGGGGCGTTACCCCATTATTAAAATACAAACCCACATCGGAAACACCCTTGGGAACACTTAGGTCAACTCATCTACGGTTTCAAACATACCCAAAAAAAACATGGTGGGCAAGATGGGAACATATGGGAACTGGTCCGTGTTTGGACAGCGAACAGTATGTCTGTGTCTTTTAGACGGCCAAATGAATCACGGGTGGCATGTGCCGTGACCGCATGGCCCCCCAAGTGGGTGTCGTGACTACCATCGATCGATGGTCCCCAATTCACTCTCTCGTCCACCTTTGCCCAAGAAAACACATGTGTTTTGTTCTGGCGGTCCACCGCGCGCGATCCACCGCGCTGTCTGAACCGTGGTCCAAGGCACATATCCCACCACGTTGGCCTTTTGGACCCTGAGACGTCTGAAGAAAGTCTGAAGATGTCAAGGCTTCGTGCGGATGTGCCATGTCAATGAAGAATCTGTTGTACCATGGTACCGTGCCCGAAATCATGGCGTGTAAACTTTTGGGCACATCGCCAACACAATCCGTTCCTATGGGATAATTAAATATATAACTATAGGTGTTCGATAAGTACACCCAAAGCTTTGGAATACTGTGGGTGATCTTTCACCAAAACACCATGGACTTCATCATCTTAATCACACTGTGGTCGTCACAGCTGTTCCTTTTGCCAGTTCACGATGCTCAAATCGAACAGCAGCCTGGCGGTCTTCAACTCTCCCTGTGGGGTGTTCATGTTGGTTTCAGTTATCTTAATGAGACCCTGGACTAAAATACCACTCTCCCATTCGGATTGTACAACCTCTTCATATGTTCTTTTTTGAATCAACATGAATCAACATAAATCTGATGATCGACACGATCTTTTTTGCAATGCACCATGTCTACCTTTCACTGGATCGAAGCAACTAGCTACGCTCCCTGAAATAAGAATGAAAGTGGAAAACGACATGTTTGTAGAGGAAAATGGTCATCCAAGGGGACATGCTATCCACTTCCATGAAAATTTTAGGAGTGTCGTCAACCCAGCAGAAACCGCCCCATCACAGGACCAACCAACACCGCGCCCAACCGCCGGCGAAAGAAACAAACCACCTTTGAGACCTCCGATTGATCATGACCCAGAATGTCCTTCGCCCGGCAAAAAAAACTATCACGCCTTGCAAGCACTTAACAAGACATCTACTGTACCTGGTGTCTCATTTCCCATCTACCAAAGTTCCGTTCCCCGTTCCTCTCCAATCCCACAACGAGTGGCCCCAGGGCGTCCAGCACGGCACAGCAGATGTCCAGTGGTCCGCCCTTGGCGTTGTTCAGCTCCGATCGACTCCCCAAGCGCGTCCCCGGCGAACTGCCAAAGCCCGGCATGTCAATGGCCTCGGTTTCGGCATGTCGGTTGCGACCGCGCGCGGCGGTGGCCGGTCAAGTTTTGGCAGCCGATCGAGATGAACAATCCATGTCTGGAATATGTTTTGCATCTTTATCATAATAGGGGTCCCTTCTGTAATGGGAATAGTTGAATGTATATATATATATGTATAGCCCAAGCTCAAGGGAACACTCCGGACTGAATCGCCCGTCCTTCCGAGGTAACGTAGGTAACGCAAGTTTATGTCAAAACAATGGATTGATCAGCCTGGGCCGCGTTTTGCCTGGGCCTGGATCCGAAATCCATGAAAATCTAGGCCTAGATCGATCGTCGTTGTGTGGGGTCCACATCGTTCGGGTCCACAGGTTTATCGTCTGTTATTTTGGCCGCTCGGCTAGGCAATGCCAGGCTTACTGAACCATTAGGGGGTTGTTTGTTCCGTGTAAGGCTTCTAACGGGAGCCATGGGTCAGAACCTGGCATCCACATATGTGAGAATACACGCATTGAAGCATGTCATGGTGGTATCACTGGTCCCCTAATACCTCCCGCGTTTGGGCCCACAGGATCGAAAGGAGGTCGCACCACCGAGCAGCGATAATCCCCTAGATTCCGCTTTTCCACGGAGGCTTGAGTTTCAAGGTCTGTTGATCAATGAAACAGTTGTTCCATTGGAAACCATGTTCCGTCTTCCTTCAAATGCACAGACGTCTTTGACTAGGGCGGCCCTGCCATTTTTTAACTATCGAACCTAATTGCCTATTTTATGGAGATCTGTGGGTTTGATATGATAGCTTCAACAGGCAACGCCAAAGCAGGTCGTTTTCAAGCACTGACGTATCAATTTATTGCCACGAATTCTATACTGGCATTATTTTCAATTTGAAGGCAATTGCAGTAACTGTAGATGTTAGATATCTTCAAGCCAAGCCACAATGGCACGGTACTTGCTGTAGAGCAAGGGCGGAAAAAGCCACCTGGTGGGCAGTGTGAGGGTGCTATTACTATGACAAACCATCTATGTGATTCTCAATGTCTAACCGTCTAACCCAAACAATTGCGAGATGACTTGGAGCCCGGACTTGGAGTCCGGCCACTACTTTGGAACAACACCTCTTTTTGCACTGCACAAAACCTCTTGGTTTTCTGGTTTTCACACCACAAAATACCACAACATCATTGTCCCTCTCTGGTGGATCCTCCATTTATGAAGTGGGCCCGAGCAGGATCCCCATTCTGTAGAGGAACAGGAGCCCCATAAAGGATAGGTCATGGAGGATTCTGGTGGTATCGAAGCAGTGGCATCTCGTACCAGGCTGCCAGACCGGTCAGAGAGAAGCGAGAGAAGACCAGGCGTGGATCATCCCCCCAGAGAAGACGAGGTGCGAGTATCCTCAAGTATAGTTGATGGATATGGAAAAATCACCTAAGAGAACACAATCCTCTGCATCCTTACCCCCACCATCCACTTCGGGATCATGGATGATACAAACTCAGGTACGGCAGTCGGCTGAGCCAGGCACTTCCAGGTCCATGCATCCGATGGGCAGCCATGAAGCAACAGGACGGCCTGGAGAGGGAGTGGGTCTGTCATGGTCTGTCCATCGGCTTCGTCCTGATTTGCGCAAGCAATGGATTCTGAAAAACTCTACCACAATCTCGTCTTACTTCGTGGTCTTCATGGTGCCAACATGTACAAGGTGTCTAAAGGATCCTGTGGCACTGTTAGCAGATTTGCCAAGCTGTAACTTTGATTCGAAACCAGCTCGTCCAACATGGTCCAACACGTCCAGGTCTGTGCTCCGTCTGTGCTCGGAGTAAAGGAAGGTCCTTTTCGGACCGATCACCTAGTCAAACCATTCAAAATCAGACCATTCTGGGCCTAATACCAAGCTTCTTGAAGTATGCTCATCAAATACCAAGCGTTCAGAAGCGTCCTGATTTCCCGCACAGAACTGAGCAGTTTCTTGGTCATAATTACTTGGAAGAGTTCATCTTGCTGGTCCATGTGGAGCATCGTCGACTCCTTCCCTACAGCCCGGGGTAGCAGTTGAGCCGAACCCGCACCGGAGCTTCGCCCGGTCCGTGAAAAAGCGACCGTGTTCGACCAACGGCTGCAACGGCCTCACCATCCGCTGGTCCACAGGTGAGGACATGGATCTGCCCATGAGCCGTGTCCAGCATCTGCGATTCCATCACTGACGCAGCCTCCATCGAAGCGGAAGCCAAAGGGATGGAGACAGGTTGTTCCAAGACTCAAAGCATTCGGGCAACCTGCTTTTTTCATGTGAAAAAAATACATGGTCGTCGTAGGATGTCGTAGGAGGTAACATTTCCAAGCAGGAGATAAAACACTTTCCATGTTGAATGTAGTTGGCTGTTTAAAACGCAAGTGCCTTACTAGTAGTAACAAGTGCCTTACTAGTAGTAACAAGAAGCTATTAATTAGAAGCTATGTTGAATGTAATTGGCTGTTTAAAGCGCTGATGGACTTTGATGGACTGAAAGGGATGTCTTGGGAGCAGTTTCTGCGTGCTTCGCTGCGTGCTTCGTGCTTCGATGATGCGTTAGACTCCTCTGGGATGAAACGTGTGTGGATGCAAAGAATTGCACCACAGTGTCAATGTCTGTTTAAGCTGTGTTCTTAGTGGCAAACCATTGCAAATATTCTACAGTCCTACATAATCCCACACTCCCAGAAACTGCGAGTGGAGAACAAGAGTCAGTTTGTAGAGCAAAGTGGTGTATACATGGAAGTGCGCTAAGGGCTCAAAGTTGATGACAAATATTGCTTGGTCAAGTTCAGAAGCACTGCTGCAACCTGAAGATCACTTCAATTGCAAATATATGCACCCCGGTAGGCTAAACGATGGACCCTGACATGGAAGACCATTTTCCTCTACAACCCGACGTTGTCTTGGGGGGGGTCCATCTGGTCCGAAGAGCAGGAGGGTAGGACTTCAATATGACTTCGAGTTCAGCTGGACCACGAAAGCCAATTCCAATGTCCCATGAACCACAGCTCCTTGTAGAGTACAAGTTGGAATGCATGGACTGGTCAAGAATCGCCTGGTTCGGACCATCTCGTTCTTGATTCTTTTGGGGGGTTCTTCCCATCCACCAGGCACTCCTTTCAGGTCTCCTTTCAGGGCGACCCCTGACACTCCGAGGGACGTCCAGTGCGGCTAAGGAGGCCCAAGGACATTCCGGCTCTTCGGTCTTCGTGGGCTCCTCCTACCGGTTGGAGCGGGGCTCAGATGGAACCACCAGGGGTGTGTAGCTGCTGTGTGCATGAACATAAGAGGGAGACCGACCCCCAAACAACGACTCTTTGGACGGTTCGGGAAAGAAACCCATTGGCCCCCCTTGGGGTTCTCCCTTAGAATACACACCTGCAACGACTTTCTGGATTTCTTGAGGAGCGAGGATGGCCACTCAGCACCTGAAGAATAGGTGGGACTAGAATTGGAGAAATCATTGAGAAAGGCTTCGGCTCCAGTGTTTTGAGACCTGCTTGGAATGAGGATAAGCACCGATCACATCCAAACAGAAAGGCGATGCTGATTGCGGGACAGTTCGCACGTGATTTCAAAAAAACTGTAAGTGGGTGTATACGTGATGGCGCGTGATAGATCCCTTTACTCTTGCTCCAAGCAATCAATCGGCCGTGGGATGCAAAAGAAAATTTCTGGCCTGTTTGGAAGCAAGCACCGGAACTGCTGATTCTGCAACATGTTACAGCCGGTTGAAATGGAGAATTACACCAGGATTGCAGGAGTCATAGAATTGGTCGACTATGGTCGACTTAGCAAATAATAAGCTTGGGTTCCCAAAACGCAAACCAAACTCTACCTCTGTTCAGTTGAAAAAAATAAACACGTGCCAAGTATACAAAACCAGGTGAACTGTGCAGAGATATGTAGAGATTGAACATACATTGTGTTCTGTGCGCCTACGTTCCCCCTCTTACAGCCGTTACAGCCCCCCCTGGAATCATTAATGAATTGTTCTGACCACATGGCAGGCCACGGCGGAATAAATGTCCACATGGCAGGCAATGGGTGAATGTTTCGGATCTTGAACGCGTCGTTTGGTATCTCTCTCACATGTGAACCTCTTGCTAAATCATTCCAGGATGATTCCTCCCTGTATGTACGGGTGGTACCTTTACCCACTATCTTGACACTAAAATACTATTCCACCAAAAAAAAATACTTACTGTAATTGTTATTCCAGTACACAACAGTGACAACAACAACAACAACAACCTCATATAATCCTGGAAATCAGCACCAAAGCAAATCGACTCCACCACTCGAGGTTCACCGGTTCCAAGAAAAGAACACCGCCACAATCCACCATCCAACCACATTCCACTGTGGGGTCGTCCCGCGTCGGTGTTCCAATTCGGCACTTCGCGGACGAAGCACCTTGGGCTTCTCCTCCCATGGCCGTGGCTTTCGCACCGAGTTCACAAAGACCTGAGCGACAGGGTCGCCAGCCATACCGCGAGGCGTGGTCCGCGAGCGAGGCGGGTGAACAAAATGCGACGTGGGCAACCGCGAGGCAAGCTCGTCCAACCAAACGCGACCCTGAACCCTCATCTCTCTTGTGAAGGGATTCTCTGGTCCGAAATCCTTGGGGACTGGAGGGACCACGGGCTGGTCGGAGCGTCTGGGCAGGAGACACCAAGATCCCCCCATCAAAAGAGGTAGTAGATGTTCCCGGATCACTATGTCTGACACAGGAATGAATCTGTTGAACCAATTGAAGGTATCGGAAGTTCCTCCTCTTGATGGACCAAATGCAGGGATACACCAAACGAAAAAAGACTGGAAAAACGGGAAAACACTTTGGAAAGATTGCTTCTCAACTCAGGTTTCAAGTTTCAAGGGTTCGTAAATCGACCCTGAACATCCAAGGATGCCTGGTGCCAAACTCCTCTCTTCCTGAAGTCTCTCTCCTTTTGCACCCAACAAAGCTGGCCCACCATCCACCAGGCAGGCTGTCGCTGTCGCCCATCACCCTTCGCCCTCCTCCGATCAGAACTGGCCTCGCCCTTGATCCTCCGGCAGCTGGAGGCAAAGTTCAAGGTGCCCTCCGACTCTCTCGAGTGCCTCGCAGTCGCTGCGCAGTCGGAGATCCAGTCAAGAGCCCACGGATGACCACGTGGAGATCCTTTCTTTAGAATTCGAAGGTTACAATGGTTACAAAGATTGCTTTTTGGTTTTCGTGGCCCATGCTAGAGGTGCTTTTTGAGATCTGCATGTCACTGCATGTTAGAAGGGCCTTGGATTTGCCACGGGGAAAGCCAACCGATGCTACCTGTCATTACCTGTCTTCGTCTTGGAGCTCGTGAGTCAAAATTCCTGGACGAAGTTGGTGTTTCTCTTGGTCTTCCATGAGCGGCTACTTCTCCGAGCTTCGTAAGCCTAGGTCCTAGGTCCTAGGTGCACATCGTCACCTTTTGCGCTTTGGCTTTGGAAGGGGCGCAGCAAGACCCTGCCTGAGACGGAACGCGGCCAGCCGGCCAACGAACAGTAACTAACAGGGTCAAACCGAGTGTGTTCCACCGCGAGTGTGCCACCGCGACCTGCGCTGCAACTCACCCGCCAAAACGACCCGAACTCGTTCGCCCAGTGGCTTCTGTGCCGGTGACACCGTAGCGACCAGCGTGGTGCAGCAGTTGCCGCCCAATGCAGGACGCAAGAGCTGCGTCAGGGGGTCGTTGCGGTACGGCACAAAGGGATTGCCTTACAGGAGCGGAAAGCCGGGCATGAACGCGTGTGGCAGGGCAAATTTGTTGTGACATGATCTGGGCTCTGGGCCAGGTATTTGCTGATTCTTCTCTATCAGAGGTGTTGTACCGTCTGCGGCTCCCTTTCTATCAACACCAAATCTATTCATCGCCTGAAAACGGTGGTCAAAGGATCCTAGCCTCATTCTGATGGCTTCGCACATGCGCCTCAGCCGATCAGTGCTAGTTTGGCATGATACAGCCTTCCTCTGGGTGGACAATTCTCTTCCTGCACGAACAACGCTACAACAACAAATATAAATATATGATATGATGTTATATATATATTATATATTACATATATATATATATGTGAAACTTCATATTGCATATTATTCAATATACATACCGTATACAGCTATGTATCCCAATAGCTCCGGAGGCCCCGCCAGGCCGGTGAGGATTCTCCTTTTCTGGCCCCCCCTTAACTTTCCAGTGGGGGTCTTGCTAGAGATTTTAAAGACTCGGGTGACCCCCTGCGGAACTTTTTGTCTATAAAATCACCAGGCCAGACCAAACCGAGAATTTGTATTTGTATGAATTGAGAAGGTGTGACGTCACAACTGAGGCTCTTTTTGTATGGAAGACCTGCATTATGAACGTCTGCTATTTGTTTACACGTTTCTCTTCTCCCCTTCAACGGGGAAGATCCGCCACATGCCGATGTTGGCTTTCTCCGGTCCCGCTGAGCAGGACCGGTGACCGATGTCGTTCCCCGTTAAGGGAATAGAGGAATTGTTAGATATTTTGCTGATCACATTCCTTCATGTCACTTCATGTCCTTTCTTTTCTTGAAGTTTAAAGAGTTAAACAACATGAACATTTAGGATCTTATAAAACATGGTGAGAATTCCATACTTTTTGATATCAGCCAAAATGGCCTCAACTTGCAAATGTACGTAACATGTTCATATTTCAATGCCTAATTGTGTGCTTCATATCAAAAACTTACATGGTAACGAAACACTCTCTATACAATCACCTCTCCTCTATAAAATCCGGGCTGTATCCCCCCAAGCACTAGCTCCCATCGTGTTTTATATTGGGGGTTGTCCCCCCCATTTCATAGAGGAACAGTTACAGTACGGATCCTTTCTGGGCGATGATGTTGGAGCCAAACACATCTCTGCCACCTTTCAAAATCCTCACAAGGAAATCCCGAAAATCCCACCCAAAGCTGGCTGGATGTCCTCAATCCCTTCCACAAGAATCGCCCCCACCATCAAAAACTGATGGAAAAAAACAACTCATGCTTGGTGGATGGTGTTTGGAACCCACAAGAATGCCCCTGTCCCACCATCCCACCATCCCAACACGTTTCATCAGATCCAGCGGCCGTCTGCGAGTGCGGCCACCACGCCCTGCAGGGCAAAGAGAGACTTGTTAATGTGAACCGCTTCGGTCAGGCGATCGCCTGGGGCGACGTCAAGGGGCGGATCGCACATGAGTTAGAATGTGAGTGACCAAAATCGACCAGGTTTACAGGTATGGTCATGGGCCCAACCTCTTGGGAATGGTCATGGATTTGATTGAAACACCTGTATATCCTCACAACGTCTGCCTGGCCACTGTGACGTCACAATAAGTTTCTTGGCATCATTAGGCTTGTTCACGAGATATGAACGAGCAACACCATGGTTTTTCGCTTTGCCCTGGGCTCGTTGGACGAACAAACATAGATCAATGCCCAGCTCGTTCTTTGGCTCCAGGACATCGCTGGACATCTCTGGACCTCCGCGCCCGCTGTGCCCACACCCGTGTGCCCACGTCCGCGTCCGAGCTGGCGCCTGTGGCGCAGGAATCCTTCACCCGTTCAGATCCAGCCAAGTCGACCAAGTACAGTTTGGCGTCGGTGGCGTTCTCCTCCTCAGTCCCTGCCGAGTCGGGAATCTGCGAGAAACTTCGGGATGTGTTTCCTACATTCTAAGGTCTATTTTTGTCTGTAGTATAGATTTTTTGTTTTTTTTCTGTATGGTGGTTGGCAAGAACAATCATGAGATTGTCTGGAAGAGGTTGAACATGGTTGAACTCAGGATGATCAACTTTGATCCACTCTGCTTCTAATGAGTCTACAGAGTCTGCGCTCGTTCAGTCAATCTTCATGAAGCAACCCGAACGCTCGCGCCGATCAGCACGTGAACCGCCTTGCCACAGAGTTACGTTGAGGATCAGCACGGCATGCGATCGGCTGGAGCTAGCGTTCCTGGTTGCGGTGGTTGTGGAATGCATGACCAGGATGAGAACAAATGACGCAAACATGCACAAACCTACCCCGCTTTACTCAAGTGGTGTTCCCATGTTTTGACTGTAGCTCAAATGACAACCAGCAACAATAGCAACAAAGAAGAACATGTGTCAACAACAATGGGGCAACAATGAACTGCAATCAAGACATCAAAGCAGCTGCTCCTTCCAGTACTGATGCTGCTAGTATTGTTTGTTGCCAGCTCTACGAAGATCACAGTAGCACGTACTAGCATTGTTGCCGTCGCCACTATCCGGTCTGTCTACCACCTACACTCCCCCCCGACTCCGGTCTGCCTGAACGTTTGTCTCCCTACATCGCTTGGGTCTGAAGTGTCACATCGCGACAGCATCACATCAGCCGTACACGGAAAAAATGGAAGGGTTTACTCATCTCACTCAGTCGAGCTACAAGGCCGTACACGCCTGCTGCCGTCGTCGATTTCCTTCTTCCAACAAGGCTTCCTTAGACGACGGGGGGGGAAGAAATGCAGGATGTGATGTCCTACTGAGAGAAGATCACGGACCTATTTGACATTTGGAGCAATCATCTATCCACCTGTGGAAGCTCCTCGATGGTTTTCCCTTCCCTTCCAGATCTGATCAACTCTCCCCGAAACGCCCACAGTGAATCTGTTCAAACATGTTCACACGCAAATGTGGTCTCCAAACTCAACAAAAAAGCATTAAAAAAAACACTATCAAATCCAGGGAAGGAGTTTGGTTTCTTGAGCTTTTTCAGATCAAGACAATAGAGATACCACCTGCCCATACCGGCAAACACCCACCCCACCAAGCTTCCACGTCGTCCATACTCTTCACCGGGCGAGAGCTTAGGCCTTCCACACGAGTGTCCACAAAGTCCTCAGGCCGAAGTGCGTGTCAATAATCCCCCTCTGGATTACAGTGGTTTCAAACGGTTTCAGAGTAGATGGAACTGGCACCCCAAGATGTCTTTTGGATGGGGATCCATATAAACCACCTTTGGGGGGGTTGTGCAAGCCTGTGCCATCTCTCAAACCACTGTAGCAGGTACAAGTAGAGGTTGGGTTCTTAGTGGCACTTGTTGAGTAAGGGAGTAAGGGTTGGGCGCTTCAAAGTGTCTTCCAGGACCACGCTCGGACTCATGCCCCACCCGCACTTGATCTGCACATCACTTCTCGCCTCTTCGACCACTTCTCGAAGCTTCAACTTCTTTTCGTGGCCATCTTTGACCTCAAATCGGGCCCTGCATCCACAGGTGCCATGGCCCGTCATCAAATCTCCGCCATGTCCCACCCAGAAGTTCAGCCATTGCATCATTGGGGGAACGCCCCTGAATTGGAGACCTGCCCGAGTCATCTGTGTCCAAACTCTTGGAATCTCCCATGAGCATAGGACAATGATACAAAATTATAATAGCCACAGTCAAAGTTGACTGATCAAAAGGATGCCAAATGCTCATAAATAAAACCTCTAGATGTGTGAGCAAGCCGGACCTGGACCTGCAAGGTATGTTGAACGTCCCTAAGAGGAGGTTGCAATGGCCCCAACGATCCCTGAACTGGGGGGAAGAATGCAGTTCGTGTACCACTGTACCACTTCCCTCTACCTTCCTCTACCAACACCCCAGAGAGCATCCTGAACACTTCAGAGTTCTCCATCTAGACATCTAACGCTTCCAGAGCCTTCCCATCTCCCAGAGTCTTCCCTTTGGTACTTTCAGTAGCCAAGCGTCCAGTAAGTCGGTGATGTGATTCAAATACAACCTCACCGACCGTCGCTCTGAAGTCGGTCGTCGAGGTCGGCCAAGTGGTCACCGCAAGGTATGTCGACCCAGGGCCAGGCCAGACTGGGTGTACCCAGTGAACCCGGCGCCAGGCGTGTCCCTGACTGTTGGAGGGTCCCGTCCTGAACCTGAATCCTGAACACTCGTCAGGACGCCAACTCCTGAGACATTCTCTGGATTGACCCATACGCCCCCGACATGTGTCGAGAAGGGTTCAATCCGGAAGAGCTCGATCAATGACCCGCTGGCGTGAATCAGAATGAACTTGAATTTACAGGCCAACAGCCTACAAGTACCAACATGTAGAGCGCCC